TCTGCGCCCACTTCAAGGCCAGGCCAGTCTGTCTCCCTCTTGTCTTGGATTTTGTGTCTTGGCAGGAACAATTTAAAAGAGAGTAACAAATGACCCAGGCACGGGCTGCTTGAAGCCCGTCTAAGCAGGGTGATGTCTTAATATCACCAGCCTTCTCATCATCGCCACCCTCCCACCCCAACCAGCACTAAGCATCCTGCTTAGGCCGAGTGTTTGGTGGCAAAAAAATCTGACATTTGCTCTGGGAGCCAAGACGAGCAATCAGACTCAGCAAAATTAAGAGAGAAATAATTAAAGTGAGTGACCCTTTACTGACTGATCACAACTGATTGACTGAGTGCCTGAAAAGCCCTGAGCACCGTCGAGAGGAACCACGTCTTAGTCTGTTCCCGGCAGCCGTGACCAGGCACCGCAGAAGGAGCGGCTTAAACAACAGACTTTATTCCTCACGGCTCTGGAGGCTGGACGGCCAAGATCAGGGTGCCTGTGTGCAGCTTGTTCTGGTCGAAACTCTCTTTCTGGCTTGCCGACGGCCGCCTTCTCCCTGTGTTGTGATGACCTGAACAGCTCACAGAGCAGTGTTCCCCTCAGTCACCCATCGGGAAGGACCCGATCAGCAGGTGTAGACACAGGCGTAAAGCACGGGGTCTTGTGTGAAATAAACACTGCAGCTAGGGGCGGCCCTTGAATCCCAACCGGCCTCCTCCTGCAAAGCCAACTTGTTTCAAAATTAAATGGACGTGTGCATGGATTTTCTTGGTGTTCACAGCACACTTACCCCAAAAAACAATTCTTTTAAAACGGTTGATTTTTTAAAGTGTTCCTGTGGATGACTAGCCAGAGCTTACGTGTGATGAGCTATAGGGAGAACCCGCACTCACAGCTCAGGAGCCGCCAAACCGGTGTAAGAAGCCCCCGTCGGATGAGGAAGTGCAGATTTGGTCCCTTCAGGGGTCACCTGTCACCCTTCCTCTCTTGGGGCACTATGTGAGCATCTTCCAGTGCCGACGCGGCCACAGAGACCGTGGACGCCCTTCAAGAACCTCTCCCTCAGACCCCTCGCCTCTGCAGCTCCCACACCTTTGTCATGCACACAAGGCACTCCCAGCTGTGTGTGCCTGTGTGTGTGTCAAGGCCATCTGCAAGGCATCGTACTTTCTCGGGTTTGTAACTTCCACCGTCACCCACAATATTTCTTCCTTACTGCCAAGCCAAAAGGCTTGGCTACTTTTTCCTTTTTTATAAAATTTAACTTTTTCCTTTCAAAAAGCAGAAAAGGATCTTATGACAAGGAAGAAGACAAATGCTGCTTCTGTCTCTACGTGGACGCACATAATTTTAGTGTTTTCGCCAGCCCTGGATCTTCGACTCAATTCATGACCGGCCTCCACTGGGAAGAAGGAACCAGACGTTTACAGGAGGTGGCAGCTGGGCCCCGGGCAGATCGGGAAGAATGGACATGGCAGTCCCTGAGTCAACAAGGCCAGGGCCTCAATGGCCAGACCTGCCTAATAGGGCAGAGTAGTGGGTGCAAAACGGTGGATTCCAAAGATCTGTTTCTCAGACTCTGCAAATTCGACGTTATTTGGAAAAAGAGTCCTTGCAGATGTAGTTAAGAATCATGAGACGAGACCAACCTGGATTTTCCAGGCGGCCTTAAGTCCAATGATAAATGTCATTACAAGAGACACAGAGAAGACAGCCACATGATGACTGACGCAGAGACCAGGGTGAAGCTGCCTTCAGCCCAGGCACAGCTGGAGCCTCCAGAAGCTGGAAGAGGCAGGAAGGATCCTGCCCTGGAGCCCTTGGAGAGAGCATGGCCCTGCCTACACCTTGATTTCAGACTTCCAGAAATCAGGTGTAAGCCCCGCTCCACCCTTGTTAGCTGTGGGGCCTGAGCAGGCCACCCAACCTCTCTGTGCCTCAGTTTTCTCATCTGTAAACTACCCCACAGACTTCCTATGGCGACTGAGTCAACGTGTGTATACAGCACGTTGTGTAGCAACATGTGTAGCGTGCTTAACCCATATCTGCTACATAAGTGACAACATTACACATTAATGGAACACTAAGTGTTAAAAATTATTATGTAGGAAGTTCACTGACTGGCCTAGATGCTCGTGGTACACTCTTTGGAAAAAAAAAAAAGCACGTTACTAACTCATGTGTACAGGAATAATTTCACATCTAGCTATTCATTTGTGTGTCTTGTGTTTGTAGAAAAATGTCTGGATGGATAAAAGGCACAATATTAACAATAAGGACGGCAGTACGTGTGCCTCTCTTAGTTATATTTTTCGGAGTTTTCCGTAATGAACACATGATCGTATACCCCAAAAGATGAAGGGCATCCTACTTCTGCATAAAGGCAGGGCTTAGTATTTGCTTTTTCATTTTCTTAACCGCAGGGGCAGCATAGGTAACGAGAATAGTGACTTTTAAAGCTCAGGCCCCAGGACCCACCTCTTGGTGCCAGTGTTGTAGCTGTGCGTTGAAAATCACTGGGCTTTCGGGTTGGTTGGTTGGTTGATCAGTGTTTGGGGAAAGTGCAGGCAGGGGTGACTTCAAAATCGGAGGAGGAATTTGCAACTAACTAGGCGTCATGGATGAGCAGGGGTGACGTAAAGAGAAGCAGCCCATCAAAATGGTTGCTATTGCACCAGGATGACTCCAACAATCATTGCTTTTTAACTGAAAGAGGAGAGGAGGGGTCAAAGGGCCAAGGGAAGGGGCAGTGAGGTCAAGTGTGCACAGTCTGAGTCTAGGATGCGGCCTTGGACCTTCCAGTGAAACCTAAAGGCCGTGGGCAGTTACGCTCAACACGCCACCTTCACCGTGAGTCTGCAAGAAGGCCGCCTGCAGGCCTTTCACGTGAGTCACACAATGTCCGTTCTGAGCGGGGAGTGCTCAGTCACCTAAGAGGACTTGAAAGTGGTTGGCACTTGCAATGAATACTAATGCCAGGTCCGGTGCAAAACGGAGACCAACCCATGAACTTAGGGGAACGTACCGTGACGTCCCAGCATCTTTTGGGGGCTCCACTGCAGAGGCAACGTCAAATGCGCTGAAGGGCTGTTGACGAGTCCCAAGGCTTCCCCCCAACACACCCTAACTTGTATGAAAAGACGGAGGGACATTCCAGAGTGACCGGCTCCGGCAATCCCTGCCCCTGCGGGGCCTGGCTCAGCAGGCCCCCGGGCTGGGGGGCTTTGTATCGTCACTGGCTACTTGATCAGCACCCCCACTCATCGACGGCAGCCGTTCTGCTCAAGGCTGAGAAATAGCTGGAAACTGCCTGATTCTCAGGCCCCGGATGTGCACAACAGCTGCCCTTTGCCAGCTACATCCTGCGAGTTTCAGAAACCAGAGGGGAATTACAGACACCTGTGGACCCACCAGGCACCCAGGCAGAGGGAATGGAAATACACCCTCCGAGAAGGCTGGGGAGAAGGCCCACGTCTGGGTCACGGACGATGTTTTAAGACAGAGGACAAGGAATGGTCTGGAGTAATCGGGTCACTGCTGGAACTGCAAAGGATGTCTTCTACTGAGTCAACGGGATGGAGTGGGTCAGAACACGCTCTGAACAGTCGGGCTGCATGTAACATGCTGCTCCCTGCACATCAGCTGTGACTTCTGGCTCTGTCATACGGTAACAGTTCTTGCAGCTCCGGGGACTGGGGGGAGGACCAACTGAGTTGTCCCATGGGCACAGGGGTTAGGAAGGGCTTTGAGCCCGGCCCCCTACCACCCACATGCAGCTGCTAACAGGGCGGTCAGAAGCGGGAAAGCCAACGCAGGGGAGGAACCTCCGGGTCCAGGATCTACTGGCTGGGGCAGCCCTCATCTAGAGGAAACCGCGCCCGGGATGGGAATCCTTTTCTGGTGATGTTTTGGAGAGAGCGGAACTACTGACAACAAGGTAGCAACTTCCTAAGGGGCCTGGCCCCCAACTCCTAGCAAATATAAGACTCCCTTGGGAAGCAAGGGCACACACGAGCCCCCGTCCCTGGGAAGGGGTCAGCAGAGAACGCTGCGAGCTGGGCTCTGACCCTCACTCCACTCGGCCACGCCCGTGGCCTCACCGGACACAGGCCAGTCAGCGGAGCCCGTACCACGCCCACTGTCACACGCCGATGAGACTCAAGTCCCTAACTGTGGATCTTGGCTCTAAGGGGTCCAGAATCACTGGGGCCAGGAAACCAACAACACGGGTTCCCGGGCCCCAGCCCAAAGCCTCTACCCAACAGGTCTGAATTGGACCCACCTTTCCGATGAACGAGTCCAGGTCATTCTGATGCCGTGGTCTGCAGTGACCCTCGAGAAACACCACACTGGGGCCTGCGGCTCAAAGTCAGCCCGCAGGTGCGGCGACAGCACTGCCCAAGTTCACCAGCCACGCAACCTCCCAAGGCCCGCCCGGCCCTGCAGACTCCGAAGGCGCAGCTGCCCCCGTCATCTGGCAGCCCCCTCAGGCAGACACACAGGGCCCCGGGACGGGCTGGTGGTGCATTCCTGAACTGTGTCAATACATCCGCAATGTCCTCTGTGAAAGAGGCCGCGGAGAAATCAGAATCCTGCATTTCACTTTGGCTTTTCCTGCCTAAATGCCTGCAGAACAAACTTCACCAATATCCCTCACACTTTAGGGAAGTGACAATTGTTTACAAGATACAAGATACTATACTATGAAAACGTTACAGAAATAATTACATGGGACAAGTCTTATAAGTACTTAAAGACTTTATTATATTAGACGAACTGAAATCTATGGAAACACAGTTCCATTGAACACATTCTTTATGCACTATACTTAAAAATATAAATACAAAACGAATTTAAAGTACTTATATTAAACCAAGTTTTCCTTCTGTTTTTTTGTTTAGCTTTCTTTGACACCATAAAAGAAAGAAAGAAAAAGAACAGAAAGAGTATATTAAAAGAAAACTATTAGGTAGAATTTTTTTAAACTTTTACTTTACCTATCATATTTAATATTTCCAAGACTATTTGGCCACGGAGAATCATACACATCGCACTCAAAGTTGTGTGATCACCAGTCCCCTGAGAGCTAGAGGACCAAACAGAGCACGTCAGGGAGGGGGGCAGCTGGCGGCACAGCCCCGCACGCCCTCCAGGCCCTGCCGTCCCCAGAGGCCAGGACGAGGACAAGGTGGCGGGAGGATGGGCCCAGGAAACAGCATCGCTGCCGCTCAGTCAAGGCTGCCTGAAGGTCACGGCCACTCGTGCAGGGCTGGGAGGACCTTCAGACAGACGGAGGAGGGAGTTAGGAAGGAGGATGGTCTTCCCCCCGGACGCTCCGGTACTTGGCCATGTCCTCAGGAAATACTTTAGAGAGTTCTTGAATCAACAGGCTTTTAAATTTCTAAGAAAAAAAATATACACGGTCAAGATATTTTTGCATGTGACCCATCACCCAAGTTAAAGACGACGCCCCACCAGAGCCTCCAACTCAAAATTTCCCTGCACTGTCTGCTCATCTCCCTGCATGCCACACCTGCCAAAACGCAGCAGGAAACTGCTTGCAACTATGCTGCAGGTACATCAGGTACATGGAGAACTACCTGAAAGAGGAATGTTCATTCAAAGACTACTTCTTCCCTCCTGCCTCAAATGACAAGGAGCCCTCTCGCACGGAGCCAGCCACTCAGGTGGAAATGATTAGAGCAAGTGTAACAGGAGTCTTCACGTAATAATTAAGCAATTATTAATTCAAACCACATCAAACCCATTGTGTGCAAACAGCTCTCGATCAAAGCTTTCAGAGCACCTAGAAACCTGTCTTCTCCAAATACCACGCTCCTTGAGCCTTCGTATCAGCATAACGTTTGTTTTAATCCAATCTTAAAAGCAGCTAAATATCTGCCAGCATCTCAAAACCCTTTCTTATAAGCTGTACAGAAAGGCAGCACCGTGGATATAAACAGAGAGATGGTCCTTACGTAGGTCAGGAACACATCCTTAAAGGAGGCTACATGCCAACCCTACAGAAAGCATTTAAGACAGAACTCATGCAACTTTAATCACTCGACCCACCAGGCATACAAACTGCACTGTGAGACGTTCACAATCTCATGAGAGGAAATGACACCAAGAGGCAACAGAAAGGGGTGCAAACTGAACAAATAGCACGGTCGCTAGTGTCACTGCCGACAGGCCATCTCCAGGCGCAGAGGCAGGGAGGCGAACAGGAGCGCGGGCAGCCGGGAGCACATCGCCCTGCGGCCGCGGCCCTGTTCTTAAGGGGAAGGGCGGGGCTCTTTCTGCCTGTCGTCCCCTGAGCTGGACGATCCGGCTCGCCCGCAGACTGGCCCAAAGGACCCCAGCTGGCTCTCCACCAAAGCACTATCGTGTCCCAGAGGTGATGCTCTGTTCAAGAGCAACTCAATGCCAAGCTGGCAAAGCAGAAATGAGGCCGGGGGCACCACACTAACCCTCACAGCAAAGCCACCTCCAGGGCAGGCCACCTGGGATCAGCACAGATCCCTGCAGTCCAGGCAGCGGGAGACGGGCCTGTCACGGCAGTCCCGCCACCACCGCTGTGCCGGCCCCTCGCCTAGCCCGCGCGCCCTCTGCGTGGCCGTCCCCACGAACAGCAGACACCGAGCAGGCACCTGTGCCCCTGGGCAGCAGAGGGAACACAACACTCGTGCCCCTTGCATGCTGGAGCTTAGGCTGCAGCAGGGGACACAGGACAGAGACAGAAGGGCCGATCCTTCTCAGCCAAGGCTGGTCCGCAAGGCCTCTCGGAGGAGGTGACACGCCAACCAGGGAGGACAGGCAGTGGGCAGAGGACGCGCAGGAGTCCCAGCAGAGGAGACGGCAGGGGAATGGACAGGAAGGAGACAAGGAGCCGGGCTGGTGAATTCCAGAAACGCAAATGAGGCCAGCACTGTTGGGGGCAGGGGGAGAGGCAGGAGGGCTCGCTGTCTGAGGCCAACAGGAAGGGGTGGCACCGCCCACCTAAAGGAACCCCCCCCCAACACACACACACACCCCGCCCCCGGCCACACGAGAGTCAACGTAGGTAAGAAAACACTCCATATACCATGTTCAAGATGCAGTTTTCTCGATCCCATCAAAACCAAGAAATACAAAGAGCAGGGTCTCTGTGGAGAATAGGGTATACGGTACAAAGGGGTCTGGAGTCTGAAGCTGGAGACGACCACCAGAGAAAGAGAAGTCAAGGAGGATTCGGCAATCCTCTAAACCAAAGACCCACAGTTACAGAAAAAGGCCGAACAGAAGGACTCAGAAAGCACCAAAGGGCAACCTGGAGATACTAAAATCGTAAAAACAGAAACGTTAGCCAACAACAACTAACACCACAAAAATTAACCCAGACTTCCGTAAAGGGGAGGCTAGCCACGTCGCTACATTTATTATGCTACCACACGGCTTGCTATTTAATTTTATTACCTATTACGCATTTCAGAAATCTCAGCTGTGTAATGTTGTCAAGTAGCTGAAGTTTTACAGTCTATGAGCCAGATTTGCTCTGTGAGCATTCCTTGATGTTCTGACATTATCTTCTGTTGACAAGAACCTTACCTTCATTGTGTCAATCTTGCCTTTAACTTGTTCATTTTTAGCCAGAGCCCTCTCCAGGCACTCTTTGGTATAGAGTTGGGGATTTCGACCTTGATCTATGTATCTGGAAACATGAAACATGTCAATTAACATTCATGGCTGATACCTCCTCTCACAGTTTTCTTATGGGGAAAAAACAAAGGTAGCGATCTGTAACCTCACATGGCCCTGTTTAGAAGCTGTGTCCAGGAACCAGGTGAATTAGGATTCCTTCGGTTATACAAGTATAGATGACTTGCACTCATATTACTTCTAATAATATGAATGACTCATGAAATCAAGTTAACGATCACTTATAAACCAAGCAAGCTTCACAGTCACACCAGTTCACATGTTTAGCACTTGTGTTTTTCGAAAGGTTTCATGGCCAACCACACCTTTTTATCCTCACAACAACCTGTAAGGTCAGGCAGCTCTTGACAAGAGAGAACTAAGCGTGGGCCAGAGCTTCAGGGCTGAGCAATACAGGGAGCCCACCGAGATGCAACCCAGCAGGCCCACCCCGTCCTCTGTAGAGCCGCCTCGGGGCTGCAGGATCGGTGGCGGGAGAGCAGCGAGCACAAGAGCGCTGGCTTCGCCTGTCCTGAGATTAGTTTACCAACTGGAGAGAGGGGGGAATGATACACTACTTTCCTAAAAATACCTAAGTAACTTAAATTTAACAGAGACAGATTCTCTCCAATTATTTCTTAGCAGCATAAAACTGTTCTGTGAAATTTTCAACACGTGTCCCCAAAATGTCTTCCTCATCCCAAAGATTTCATTAAGTGTACTGCCTAGATGAATATACACATTTTACCTGCGGAAGGCCACCTGCCTACTTCTGCACCTTGAAGACCTTCACATCATCCAGCTAAACTGAATTACTCATTACAAAGAAACAAAAACCACCACCACTACACTAAGTCTGATTTATGCATTTTTATGCTTCAGTTAAAAAAAATTATCACTTCAGATTAAAGACACTGTTAGGTTGCTGTTAATGGCATAAAAACTGGCTTTTAATTATGACAGATAGAGAAATACTAATAAATCAAAAGTTCTAGAAATCCCATTTTATTGTGATGTGTTTGAAACGATGGAATGAAAAAAGCAACATTCTGGTTAAATCCTAAGCAAAATCCATCCATTTCTGCGGAGGGGGGAACCTCAACAGGCCCAAATGTCCTAAATAAACAACCCCTTTCGACAGTGATGTCATTTGGATCGGGCTCTTCTTTGAAGACTCGAGGGTTGACTCCCACTTCTGCCAACTCGCCAACCCCAAGCACCCGGCAGAAGGGCCGAGGTTTACGTTGGTGTCTCTGCTCCAGACGCAGTCGGCGTGCCTGAGAACAGGCCTTCTACATCGGCACAGACTGATGTAGACAGATGTAAGCCAGATCTCACCGACAGCTCAGATCTGCTGCTTGCTGGGCGCTGAGAGGCCACCCCATCCCAAGTCCCCACGTGGGTCTCCGCTGTCCCTGCACCCACCGGCTCCGGCTGTGCTGGCCGAGGCCTCACTGCGCCCGCCTCTTCAGTGGTCTTCCCCATCTGTCTTCCTCTCATTTCCTCCACTTCAGAAGCCAGGAGTAGTTCCTTGGCATCTGTCAATATACTCATCCCACACACTCGTGACCAGAATGGCTCTAATGAGGACACTTAAGGAAAGGAAATCATCCTCCACCTTGCCACACTTCACGAGCAGGAGTCTAGAGCTGCAACACACGCACAAGACAGACCTTCGCTCCCACCTGGGAACATGTGACACCTCGGCCAGCAGGTGAGGACAGAGCTGAGGCTGGGAAAACTGCAGCCTGTGTGTCCTGACTTGGTGGCCAGCTGCCGAGCTGTGCTGTAACTGGGACTTTCATCTCTGACCTTTGGGGATGTAAAAAGGTAACTTTTCCTTTTACTGTTCAAGGAACTCTAGTGATTTACATTTGCAGTTTTACTGCAAAAAGCCCCAGAATACTCTTGCTGTTCCAAGCCAGCTCTGGGAGGGAGGCTGCTTGGCCCAGAGAATTGGCCCTGGTCAACACAAGTCCAGGATTTGAAACTAAAATTAGAGCTGTCATATGATCCAGCAATCCCACTCCTGGGCATATACACAGACAAAACTATAATTCAAAAAGATACACGCACCCCTATGTTCACAGCAACACTATTTACAATAGCCAAGACACGGAAACAACCTAAGTGTCCATCCACAGATGAATGGATAAAGAAGATGTGGTGTGTGTATATATACACAATGGAATATTACTCAGCCATAAAAAAGAATGAAATAATGCCATTTACAGCAACATGGATGGACCTACAGATTGTCATACTAAGTGAAGTCAGAAAGACGAATATCACAAGCTACCACTTATATGTGGAATCTAAAACACGACACAAATGAACATATCTATGAAACAGAAACAGACTCACAGACATAGAGAACAGATTTTTGGTTGCCAAGGGGAAGGGGGGTGGGAGAGGGATGGAGTGAGAGTTTGGGGTTAGCAGACGCTAATATAGGATGGACCAACAGGGTCCTACTGTGTAGCACAGGGAACTATATTCAATATCCTGTGATAAACCATAATGGAAAAGAATATATATATGTATAGCCGAATCACTTTGCCGTACAGCAGAAATTAACACAACACTGTAAATCAACTATACTTCAATAAAATTTTTTTTAAAAAGTCCAGAATTTTAGTCTCAGCTCTGACACTGACTAGCTAAACAGCCACTACAGTTACATACTGGTTCTTTCACCTGTGAAATCAGTGTGATAAAACCTGGATGGATAAAACCTAAAGAGTTTATTTCCTAGAGGCATCTCTAGGCCAGGATTGTGCCCAGGTGCAGGTAACTCTCTCACAGAAAACGGTAAAAAGACTTACCAACATACCTGGCCTAAGAACTTTTTTTTTCAACAGAGCAGATATTATCATCTCCTAGAACCAGCACTGCCAGGGCAGTCTGGGGGATACCAGACCAAATTCGTACTTCTCGGGTTGTTTCTGGCTTTAATTTTTTTTTAATTTATAACATAGCTGCATAAGACTTTTTCATTCTCAAGAAAAAAAAGGAATTCATGTGGTTGTCCTTTTATATAAGCAAGATTTTAAGAGCCTAGGATGTTCTTCACATATTTAAAAAGCCTTTATTCACATGTAACTCTTTTTAAACAATACTGAGTTGTTGTTTTTTAATTAATTTACTTTTGGCTGCATTGGGTCTTCGTTGCTGCGCGCGGGCTTTCTCTAGTTGCAGCGAGCAGGGGTTACTCTTCGTTGCGGTGCTCGGGGTTCTCATTGCGGTGGCTTCTCCTGTTGCGGAGCATGGGCTCTAGGCATGTTGGCTCAGTAGTTGTGGCATGTGGGCTCTAGAGCACAGGCTCAGTAGTTGTGGTGCACGGGCTCTACAGCACAGGCTCAGTAGTTGTGGCTCACGGCCTCTACAGCGCAGGCTCAGTAGTTGTGGCACACAGGCTTAGGTTGCTCCGCGGCATGTGGTATCTTCCCGGACCAGGGCTCGAACCCATGTCCCCTGCCTTGGCAGGTGGATTCTCAGCCACTGCGCCACCAGGTAAGTCCCTGAGATTTTTTTTTTTTTTAATGGTTTAATCCCATTAGAACATAATCTCCATGACGGCGGGGATTTTTGTCTGTTTTCTTCCCTAACGTATACGAAGCACCCAGACCATGCCTGCCACATAGCAGACACTTATATACTGGTAGTTGAGGAAATGATTACAGCAAAACTAAACAATAATTAGAATATCAAGAACGCTACTTACTCAAAAACTTCTAAAGGGACAGTAATATCATGAAGTTGCTGTCTGCATTTATCGATATCCTGTAAGCCAGTAACAATAAAATTCCTGAGGGAAAAAGCAAAAATGGGACGTTAGGTTAATTGGGACGACGGCACTGAGCACCACCCACATCTGGCCGACCAGGGATCCACACGCGTGTTCCTTGCACAAGCACAGGTTACATGTGGCTCTCAGCTCTTTGGTTAGCTACAGAATTCCGTAAAGCTTTGGCGTTCTATCATATGCTCATCTAACTCCTGATCGTCTTTTTAAACAAGGAATTGCCAATACTGGGGGGCAAGAACCAATAGGAATAAGGGCAGGAGCCTTTGAGAATCTGATGAAAAATACGAGCCTTCTCTCAAAAACATTCACCCTGAGGTGGCGGGGATTTTGTGTGCGGTGTCAGACAACGCCCGGGGTGGGCGACTCCAGTTCAAGCATCCATCCTCAAAGCCTGAGGGAAAGCAAGCCGCGGCTGCCTAGTCTAACTTCAGCTCCCCGCGGGAGCCTTCCTAGATCAGCCGGCTGGTCCCGCAGCACCGGGTACGCAAGGCGGGCTTGCAAACAGGTTGGTGCTTGTGCCCTCCGTACAGCTGTGAGCCCTTCTCCGGAGCATCCGATTTGTATCTGCCTTTTGTTCACCCTAGGGCCGGGCACCGCGGCCAGCACAAGGCTGTTGCCCCAAAAATCACTTCATAAACGTTCTGTGGCCCGTCGCAACCCACCACCGCCCACCATCATCCGATTCCTCCCTTCGGGCCTAGGCATCAAGCGGTTTCTGAGCCCTCACCTTCCCAGGGACCATTTCACCGCACTGCCGCGTGAAGCCCGCCTCCCTTCGGGGGGCAGGGGCGGAACCCCCGGCCGAAGGGGAGAGAGTCCTACGTGCGTAGGGCAAGACTCAGATTCAGAAGCACGCCTCCCCCTGATAGCCCCAGAAACAGAGACTGATAACGTGTCCAAACGCGGCCCCAAGACAAGGTCCCAGCGCGGCAAAGCGGGAAGGAGGCGGGCCTGCAACAGGCGGCAGCGGCCAGCCCGCCGGCGCACAGCCTGGACAGGGAGGGCCCGGGAGGACCCGGCCCCGAGCAAGGCGGGGAGAGGAGGCGGCTCTCAGCCGGCTCCAGGCTCCCCATCCCGGCTTCCAGGCAGATAGACGCCATCCCGCTGGCGCCGGGGACACGCCGGCGGACTCGGCCGCCACTCACAGCTTCTGGTTGAGCCCGGCCTGGCTGCTGGGCTGGAAGTCACTGACGATGATGCCGAGCTGGCGGATGTTCTCCACAAACTTCTCCAGGTGCTCCTCCAGGTGGTCGAACTTCTCGGCCATCGCCCAACCGTCGGCACCGCCGCGGGCTCGCTCCTGCCCCGGCGCCTCTGACTTCCGCCGGGGCCCGCCACCACTTCCGTTTCCTCTGGGGGCGGGGAGCGGGGCGGGCCTGGATGGTGGGGCGGGGCGACGCGGGGCGGCGCGGGGCGGGGCGGGCCACCGGGGCGCGGTGTGGACCCTGAGGCGGTGTCTGGGGCGGGGCCTGGATCGGAGGCGGGGTTTGAGCGTGGGGCGAGGCGGACGGCAGCTCAGCCTGGCCCTAGTAGCCCTAAGCGGCCCAGGTGAGCGGGCCACGCCAGGTGTTGGTCCTCAGGACTCGCACGCGTGCTCTGAGGGCCACAAAGAGCCCGCAATGGGGACCTGTGGGATCCGGCTCTGCCTTCATTGGCCCTAGGCAAGTTCCCAAGCCTCTGAGCCCTTCCATAAAATCAGGATAATGAGACCCGACAACTACATGAGGTTAGTTAGAGGAGATAACGCCGGTAAGGCTGAAGCACAGCGGGCAGTACTTGGAAAGAGTAGCTTGACCCATGATGAAAATGACTTTTTTTTCCCGAGTATTCAAATTACAGGTACTTATGGTAAATAATTGCAACAATAAAGAAAAAAATGTAATGAAGAAAGGGGAAAAGACACCTGATATCCTGCCCCCCTGACAGGAGCCATCTTTAAGATCTCGGAGACCTTCCCTTCCTCCGCTTCTGTACAGGCAGGTACAACCGCTTGTGGACAAAGGGCTTGTCAGCTTCTTGTTCCACACCGGCGAGCCGCTGTGCAGGGTCCAGCAGGCTTCCTACCTGCTCCTCCGGAAGCTGGCCTCTCCCTTTTGGAGGCACTCAGCCCTTGCCCTGACCCTGAAGGCAGCTCAAGCTGGGCTTCAGACCCAGCACTTTTCCAGTAGTGATTTGCCATCCCCAAAGGGGTGAATTAGCAGCAAGGACAACAACATACGGTGACCTTAGGTCTAGTGTCACAACTGAGGCTTCTAGTGCTAACTGCTGCCACCTCCCACCAGAGGTCTCGGTGCCCTCCATGCGCCATATAAGGCAACGTCTTCACAAATACCCACGTACCTGAAAACCCTCAAGTTTGCATGAAGGACCCGATAAGGACAGTCTCCTTGTCCCTCAGTTGGAATCCTTGAGGTCAGCTCTGGCACCCTGACTTCTTTCTTCTGGTATATAATTAGCACCCACCAACTCTAACTCTTCCTTCTAACCATGTCCCCTCAGCTCTTGCTTCCCTAATTCCAGCCACCTTCCTAGGTCAGGTCCTCGGCCCCTCGTGCCAACTCTAATAAAACAGTGCCCTATGGGGTTTCCCTATCTGCGAAGAATAACCTCCCCTACTTCACAGAGCTTTTTGTAAACTGCTGTTCATTGATCTTACTAAAATTCCATTTTGACCACTCTTGTGCTTAAGAAACGTTTATGCCCATTCTTCTAGGAGTAACTGACGTTTGCTCCTGCAGTAGCCTGCCTGGATCCCTCAAGCCACCGTAATTTCCTTTTCTACTGAATATCATAGTATCCATCATTCATCCTTTTCAGTTCCTAGAGTCTTAGGCAAAATGAGGAAGCCCCTTTTCTTGATGATCTCCAAAGCCTCTCCCAACTGCAGCCAGAAATGGGAACCCAGAGAAGGTACGTGATTTGTCAGACTTACTGAATCAGGAACTCCAATTGATGTGGTGGGCTGAAGTGACGGGGAAAGCCTCTGTTCTGCTCTGAATACACAGACATGTTAGATAAAATACCTCCCTCCCAACGTAACGGCAGTTAACTTCAGGGGAATTTTAAAACGAGGTGGCAATAAAATACTAGACAAAAGGAAAACAATGATGATTGGGGAGAGGGCTGGATATGAAGTTAGTCCTTTTCAATTTCATAAGAATAAAAAGGGATAGATATTGATGGGACTTAGGCTTTGTTTAGTATTGATTTAAAAAGTTAAGTTTATTTCTTTAGTAGAACAATATAATTTCCAAATTAGTAAAGGGGAAAGGGAATAAGGACAATGCAATCAATTAAATAGAAGGCAAGAAAAACAGAGAATAGGTGAAGCAAAGAACAAGCATAAAAAATAAAAAGCACACAATGAGATAAAAGAATTAAAGAAAAATATGTTGGTGATCACAGTGAATGTAAACAGACTTCACTACTTGTTTAAAAGGGAGATTCTCTCAGATTGGAAGTGTTTTATTATATTTTGTTTTGTTTTATTGTTGTTGCTGCTGTCTTAATCCAGCTATGTGGCTTTTCCAAAGCACACCTAAAACAAACATACAGAAAGGTTTAGATAAAGGAATAGGATAGAAAAAGATATGACAGGTAATCAAAAAATGTTATTAAACATATGAAATTAAAAATTAATAAAAATGTTAAAAGACTTTTTTAATGATAAAGGAAAGAGTCCACCAAGAGGCTATACTAATATTTACCTATAAGCAACTAACAACGTTGTCTTATAATATCTAGCACAAAAGTTGGCAAATTATGAGGAACAATTCAAACTCCATAATCATAACAGGAGATTTGAACCACCTCTATCAGAAAATGATGTCAAGTAGAGTACAAAATAAATGAATATGAAAGAGTTGAATAATATGATTAATGTATGTGATCTTTGAGAAACCCTGAAGAACAGATTATTTTCAAGCACATATGGAATATTTATGAAAATTTGACCATTCACTAGACTACCAAGGAAGTTTCAGCAAATTTCAAATTGTGTCACATGGACTGGATTTTCTGACTTCAGTGGTATAATTACAGTAGAAATCAATGAAGTTATTTGCTTTTTACATACACACACATGCATACACACACACACACACACACACACAGACCTAAAAACCAAAACACACTCTTTGAAATAATTCATGGATATATATACATCTGAATTTGTATGGGCAAGACCCGATTGATGTCCGTCATCCCAATATAATTATTAGTAGCACTTCCTGTCACTCACTATCAAAGGTATCTCAATTTGGTTGATACATTACATGGCCATACTAGTTAAAGAGGAATTTGTAACATATTTGGAACTGAATGATAAGCACTCCTTATCAAACTTCTGCTTTGCTTCTAAGGTGATACTCTGAGGAAAAATAACCTGGAAATAATAAGCTAGGGTTTTCAACCCAAAGAGTTAATGAAAAGGAGCAAGAGAGAAATCACAAGCACAAAAAATATATAGAAAGGAGTGGAAAAGGTAAAGAGAGATACTGATGAAAACGAAAACTCTTTCATTAATTTTTTTTTCTGCTTTCGTTAGAAGCTAGAAAGATGAACAGTAAAGAAAAGCTGACTGTTGAAAAGACGAGTAAAGATACATACTTCAGCAAGTCCATCAGAAGGCAGAGAGAAAATAAACAATATTATAAATGAATGAGGAAACATCATTCAATTACAGTGAAATTTGTATTCATATTTTGAAAGCTTGAAGGATGTGGACAATTTTCTAGAAAACTCCCAAAAGTTAACCTAAAAAATAATAGGAGATCAGAATAGATCCTAACCTTTCAATAAACTAGCCAGCAGACAAAAATCTCTTTCAAAGAAACAAAAGACATCAAGCTGTGACTGCTTTTAACACTAGATTGTTATTTTTAATGAAACATTAAAGAAAAAAGAATTTCAATTTTAAGCAGACATTTTCAGAGACAAGAAAACGAAGAACCAACATCCCAGCTCATTTTTGTTTTGTTTTGTTTTGTTTTGTTTTTGCGGTACGCGGGCATCTCACTGTTGTGGCCTCTCCCGTTGCGGAGCACAGGCTGCGGACGCGCAGGCTCAGTGGCCATGGCTCACGGGCCCAGTCACTCGGCGGCACGCGGGATCTTCCCGGACCGGGGCACGAAGAATCCGTATCCCCTGCATCAGCAGGCAGACTCTCAACCACTGCGCCACCAGGGAAGCCCCCAGCTCATTTTTAAAGAATTATATAACTTTGATAGGAAATGCAGACAAGGACAGTCCAAAAAAAAAAAAAAAAAAAGAGGAAGAAAATATAGGCCAATCTTCCTTCTGAAAGTAGATGTAAAAATCACAAATATTACAAAACATCAGCAAATTGAATCAATTATCCCGTATCAGCTATCAATTGCTACATAAACAAACCTCGTGGAATCGTAGTGGCTTGAAACAGCTACTTTCCTCTAGTTTGCTCGCAACTCTGCAATGTGGGCTGTGCGTGGCGTTTGTAGCTTTCCCCCGCTCCATGTCACTTTGGCTGGGTGGCCTGGCTGAGGCTAGCGAATCTACTTTCAAGATGGCTCCCTCACACGGCCATCACATTGGTGGTGCATGTCGGCTGGGAGCCCAGCTGGACTGTAAGCTAGAGAACACAGTCCCCCTCTGCGTGAGTCTCTGCGGACTTTGGGAGCATCCTTGCCTTGTGGCAGCTGGGTTCCAGGAGCACGTAGCTCAAGAGAAACAGGTAGAAGTTGCACAGCCTTCTAGAATCTTGCCTCCAAAGTCCCATAGCATCACTTGCACCATAGCCATGGCACAGATGGATTCCCAGAAGGGAACATAACCCTGACCTGTCAATGGAAGAAGTAAGAAGTCACTTTGTTGGAAGAACAGGTGAAAGAACAGGTGAGACCTTTTGAAGCCATTTTTGAAAAACACAACCTGTCAAACATCACACTGAAAAAAAAATAATAATAATGATCTATTGGGCTTCTCCTAGGACTGCAAGAATGGTGAATATCATAAAATCTTTCATGTATTCATGTCCATTAAGAATTAAAGCAGAGAAATATCTCAGATAGATTTTTAAAATAGACACTTGGTAAAATTCTACTTGATTCGTGTTTTTTTTTTTTTTTAACAAAGGAACTTCTGAGTAAACGAATAGAAACTTCCTGATCCTAATAAAGGATACATACTATGAACTTACAGAGGGCATTTGACTAAATGATAGAACTTTGGAATCAGTCTCATTAAAGTCAAGAACACGCCAGAATCTTCCCTATCACCCCAACTCTTCAGTACTTCATTGGAGCACCGGCCGGTGTAGAAACAGCCATGGGAGCGGCACTG